CCAAAAGATAAAACTTATTTGAATCTAAATATAAATTTGAATCATAATATAAATGTTCCTATAACTTTAATCCAGAAGGTGAGGTGTCAGGATTTTAAGTGCTCTCCTGTACTTACATTTAAATAACATTTACATAGAAACATAAAGGCACAGAACTCGCATCACTTTAATCATAACAATAACAATTTATTGTTGTACTTTTAGAAGTTCAATGCTATTAATCACACAAACATAGTCTGAAAAATTTCATCAACGTTAGTGCATGCTATTATGGTCTCGCACCTTAAAAACAATTGCAATCATTGCAAACATATCTCTATTCAAGACAAATATAACGATATTTAATTTAAGTCTTATGATTTGGTTCCACAAACGTACATACGAGGGTTGTTCGAAAAAGTTCGTCGACGATGTCAATCTTCATTATATTACTCACTAGAAATTTGAAATAAGCACAAAATTTAATAATATTTGCTTTGTTGATGTGTGAAGTTTCATTCCATTCGATTTTACAGTAAACAATTTACTTCATTTTAAAATCAACATATTATGTACCCGCGGAGCACACTTAACGGCAAAGTAACGTCAAAGCATAGCGTCAATAATTTCTAAAAAATACTATCCCTATACATTTCACACAATGCCCACTCATTAAATCCTTTTTCCAAAACTTTACATTTATTTTTTAAGAATTGTCCTCGTTGTATATTTGTTTGTTAAGGTTTTTAATTTCTTTTATTACTTAATTCTGCTTTCACAGGATACACAGCTCTGAAGCGCCTATGTCTTTCCTTGACGTTCCAAATTTTTATAGTTTTTGCTCAGGTTTATACAGTTAAACCGTAGCTTCAGAGATTGTCCTCATCTGATACAGAGTCTCTGCCTCTTCAATACTGCCTGTACTATTTGTACACACATACATATGTTCTTAATTCCTTCAACATTTTTAGAATTCATTCAGGATTTTTCCTGAGTAAAACACCATCGTTATCTACTGCTCCGTGACGTTCTAAAACATCATCCTTATTGTCGTTTTCAACGAGGACTACCTATCTTCTCAAGTTGATTTCTTTTCAACAAAGCAAAATATAAAGCAATAATTTGGTATACGGATCGAGGTAACAATTCTTAATTTGAATATCTAGGTTGTTTTTCATTTTTGCTCCAATTACAGAGATTATGACTACAGTCATAAATAATGTATTGTCTGTAGCTTACTAAATTTTGACCTGCTCCGCGATCCGATTTTTGCATTTTTAAAATCTGGATAAGTTTGAATAAATCGTAATATTTTGGTAAAATTTAACACAAATCATTGGGAATTATTGTGAAAATATTTCTTCCAAATTTGGATAATATATGATGTCAAATAAAAAGATATGAATGTTGTCCACGAACTTTTCGAACAAACCTCATACTTAACAGAAAATGTTGACTGATTTTGCGGCAGTAGCTCAAAGCCAGAATAATATTAGTGTTGATGGTCAACAAACTAAGTGACAGCTTGAGTATTTTTGTTTTAAAACACGACTTTTTATTTCTGAGAGGGGACAGATAAAGTAAGACATTGCTTATTTTACAAAAAAATTTAAATTTTTTCAAGTTTCAATATTCTAGTTTTTTTAAATTCATCCATACAAACATTCAAACACTTTAAATTAATTTCATTTATAATATATAATATATGTAAGTATTTTTAATAATATAGTTTAAATTATACTTTTTTTTCAATCTGAGTGACTTCCCCCTCTCATATGAAAAACAAGATGTTCTTTTTTAGTTTCAAGTTAGGACAAGTTGATTTTTTTTGGGGGGGGGGGGGGGGGGGGGGGTACAAACTTCATTGAACATAAGATGCCATCCCCTGATTTTTTTGGAAATTTTGGATCTGACATTGTTTTGTGTAGCTGAAAGAACAAAGCCCAGAGTTCATATATTCCTTGTTTATAAACACATTTAACTGATGCATAAAGGAGAGTTCTTAACCTAATATCTTCACTTTCACTTCACACGTAGAGGCTTGTTAATGGAAGACACCCATATAGAATTTAGGTTAGAAAAAACCCAAAGGTCAAATGGTCAATATAATTATTTTGCCTCTCAACACTTACTGAATATATTTTTTTCAAATACTAGTAAACATCATTGTCTCAAACATGACAGACATTTTTTGAAAAATAAGATAACTAAGATGTTGAGAAATTCAAGACTTCAATATTTAAACAAGAGGCCCACGGGCCTTATAGGTCACCTGAGTACCATGCAACAACTTTCCAGCGATTGCATTTGGTTCGTGTTTTAATCCAAAAGCCATGAAATTCACAAATTTTGAAAGAGGCAGCATTGCTTATCAAAAGGGCAGATTTCAAAGCATTGCTTTATTTTGCAAAGACATTTAAATTTTTTTTTGAAGTTTTAATCATTACAAGCCAAGCATTTTTTTTTATGTTTAGGTTTAGTTATGAACATGAGAATTAAAATGTCTCGAATGAGAAGAAAATAATTTTTTTATATATATAAATCAATTATTAACATTTGTACATTCTTTTTTTATGCCATTCTAATAGGCTCCTTACCACTATTTGCTTACAAATAGTTTAAATTATATTTTTTTCATCATCTGCCAGTTTGGGCCAGTTATATAAATTTTGTGATGTTGGTCAAAAATTTTAAAAAATCAATTCTTTAAATGTCTTTCAATATATCTTCATTTTTTAAATATGTGTTAGGTGAATGTGTAGGCATTGTTCTAAAATTTACTTGATGTCTAAAATTATATAATTCCTATCATAAAACAGTCAGGGAGTATTAGGGGGGGGGGGGGGAACATTTTTTCAATTAAGTGTAAAATAATTTTTCTGGCTGATACAAATGATACTTCATGCCTGTATATATTTGTATATTTTTGCCTTTTAATAGTTGAATTTTTTCTTTATTTCTTCAGTTATTGTTTATTTCTTCCTCAAATGGACTAAACTTCTCCCATAGTTTTATTCATTACATCTGATGCATAACACATTTAACTGATGCTTAAACTGTAAGCTATAAGGGATCTAAACAATGTCGCTAACAATATGCAATAGCTACCACTGGCAGTTTAAAACCTGGGGGAGGAAAATAATTTACAGACAGATACTTTTGAAACTAATACATAATTATCTCACCAGCATGTCATTGTGCAACAAAGTCGTCAGCATTTTATTTGTCCTTTGAACGGTTGAAACGTTTTGAATGGCACTCGAATTATGAATTTTACTTCCAACACTTACTGAATATATATTTTTTTTCATCTTAACACCGGAAGTGCGACTTTGTAAATTTGAAATCTGTCTCAAATTTGACATCGAAAGAAAAAATTTTTTTTTTTTCTGAAAATTCAAAATTCTAAAACTGAAAATAAAATAAATCCTGGCCTTAAATATGTAATTAGATCATTAGCATATATATAGCAAAGGAAAGATGTTCAAAGAATTCATGCATTTCACTATATAATCATTAGAGCCCCACCCCCCAAGAACCCCTGACCTTGGGGCAATAAAATTCACAATTTTGGAAGAGGCACTCTTGTTCATCAAAACTATGTACCGAGTTAGTCTATTTAATACCTAAGAGCATAGAAGATTTTCAAAGAAATAATGTATTTCACTATATAATCTATTTAGCTCCGCCCTAGCACCAGAACCCCTGACCCCGGGGCCATGAAATTCACAATTTTGGTAGAGTCACTTTTGCTCATCATGACTATGTACTTAGTTGGTTTATTTAATACCCAGGAGCTGAGGAGAAGATTTTCAAAGAAATAATGCATTTTCACTACTGAAATTATTTAGCCCCGCCCTAGCACTAGAACCCCTGACCCCAGGGCCATGAATTTCACAATTTTGGTAGAGGACTCATTGCTGATTACAATCATGCAAACAGATTGACTGCTTGATGTCCAGGAGTAGAGAAGAAGATTTTTAAAGATTGCATTAATTTTAGTGGTTTTGGCCCCACCCCTCAGAGAGGGGCAGGGAAAAAAATTCACAATTTTTGTTCCCCTTCACCCACACATGCTTTGTGCCAAATATGGTTAAAATTGGTTCAGTGGTTTCAAATGGCTAAAATGTTCAAATGTTGACGCACGAAACGCACGACGTTTTCGAAAACGGATAGCAATAGGTCACCTGAGTTTACTCAGGTGACCTAAAAAATGTTCACCTCAGTGACTCGATTAGTATATTCCAGATACTGCTATTCTGAATGTGTTGGGTGATGAGATATAACTTGTACATGTACACATGTATGTAAAAGTAAGGATAATGCATATATTTTGGAGTCACATAACAGGCATCTCAAAATTACTGACATGTTTTGCAATCATTTCAAGTAATACAATTATATATCAATAAGTAATCATATCAAAGATTTTAAATTCTTTGTGAAATTTATAGCAGAGGGTGGGGACCCCTGAACATTGGTAGAGTATTTTTAAGAAAGTTGCCAATAAATTTATTTTGAGCTGAAGCTTTGTAATAATAATCTTAGAGTCAAAAGAGCAAAAAATAACCACAATGAAAGCTTGAACAGGACAATTACATTTTCAAATGGTTAACAAACTGATCTGCATTAGCAACAGGTTTTCAGGTATAGATGCAAAATGTTTTGAAGGGGTGGTATTCATTTGCTGATTCAATTAACTTTAGTTTTAGCTTTTCTTGAGATTATATTTTCCTCATGTGGACCCTTCTATAAATTTCATATACCCTACATTTTCTTCTGATTTTTCCTTCAAGTCTTAATCTAGGGGGGGAGTTGTGCATTTTCATTCCAAGCTCTCAGGTACAAAGCTAAATGCTCAACATATGTGTAGGATGCATTTGACTTATTTTCTTCTCTCGTATTATCACGCACATGCACTTTATTTCCACATCCCTGACCTTTTTATTACCATATCAATAGCCAACCCCTTGAACCAGCATGCTTCCCTTGAGTGGCCCTTTGTCTCCCTGATGTCTTACCTCTTGTAAATGCATGTTTTTGGTAAGAGTCTCCTCGAGCATATTTTGAAGTTTGCGGTTCATCTCCTTCAGATTCTGATCTTCATGTTTGTTCACTAGATCTATTACTTTCTTAAGAGTTAACTTGTCTTCCTGCACGGGCTGCCTGGTTTCTGCACATGAAAAAAAGATTTTTTTTATATACATCAAAATCAGAGCTTCAACACTCTTGAGGTAAGTAGGGAATAAAACTCTTCACACTTTTATTGAAGGGTTTTAATATTTTAAAAAGAAATTTTAAAAGCAATTGTCTCATTTACTAATTAAAATTATAATACTGTTTTCTTCTTATTTTAGCCACCTCCCCCACCATCTTCTAACTTACAAAATTTTAAGTATGCTCATCAATATAATTTTTAAAAACTTTAATTAAAAGTGGCTTTGTATGTAATAAGAAACAACAATTTTTTTTATTAAACATAGATTTCATGTTAATTTTTCAAATAAAAAATGCTTTTCCATCTAAATATTTTTTAAAAAGAAATGTACATGTGAAACTTGACAAAGAAACTAACACATTTTTATGCACACTTTTATTATATTCTGCATGTTTTATAACATTTATTTTTCACAGAATATTTTTTAATTATGGACAACAGTCATTTCAAGAAAAACCTATTCAAATAGGGTTTTATATATATTCTGTTAATCATTGTTAATATACACAGTAAAACTCGGTTGTAACGAAGTCACAGGGACCTCAGAAATTACTTCGCTATATCCATAATTTACTACCGGTATATCCGTATAACGAATTCATTCAATTTAATATAGCTGGGGATCCAAGGTTACTTCATTATATCCTTAAATTCACAATATCTGAGTACTAAACGAGTTTTACTGTACATCTGTTTTGAATTTTTAAAAATTCTATTATGCATCAAGGGCCATATTTTGCTCCAACGTTTGCATTGGACAACTAGATATGACTGAAAAATCATATAAATGAAAATGTAAACCTATACACAATCAATCAATCAATCAATACATGCTTTTCTAGGGCCGCAGTTCAAAAAATAACCACCCTGCTGGCTTTAATAGAAAGAGTAAATAAGATAAACTGAAATGAACTCCCACCTCTCCTTTGCTCCATGACGTAATGTTGTATGATCTGACTTTTCTGGATGAGGTCCTCAGCCATTGCTGCGTTACTTGTCTCTAGATGCCGCACCTGACAGTGGAAAGAACCTGTGCTCACTTACATGTATATAAAGTATTACTACCAAATATTTATACCTGAAGATATCAGAAAGTTGCATAGTTGTTATCGTCAATGTCAACAATGTCAAGGTCAAGCATCTTTTATTTTTAGCATGAGACTTGTAAATGAAATATATGGAGATAAGGAACAGTATTCAAGCTCAAAAGTCCATTAAACAATACAAATCAGGAGCTAGCAAACACGGACCTCTAAAACATCAGGAGTGGGATCAGGTGCCATGGGGTAGTGAGCAGTTGGTATGAAATATGTCAGTCGTCATTTGACTTAATGATAGACTGCATTTGCTGACAAGGCAATTGTTTCTACCATAAAACTCTCAAAGAGCAAGAGCCATCTTATGCATGAAATGGCCCTGTACTTATATCAATTAATTAGTTATCACCCTCTTTCCCATTTCATATGTCAAAATAAAGTAGACACTTGGCGCTTTCATTTCCTATAATAAAATTTCGTTTTCAGAATTAAGATATTGGATAACAGAATTGAGAAATTGCAATGTTCTTGAAATTTGCAGAAAACATGCGTATTTGACTACCTTCAGCAAAGAATTAAAATATGAGCACAGCCCACGATCCAAAAAATAAAACATGTTTTCTGATCTTCAGAAACAGAGCTTTCATTATGTATTTGCGTATTTTGGATCAGAGGTTGTGCTCTATATGAAATATTGAAAAAACGGTTCAATTTTAGGTGATTTTCAAATGAATTTACAGGATATGACGAAAATGAAGCATTTTATGACGTCATGATGCATTGACTTGATGGAAAATTACGTCACGATAACTAGATACATGGTCACCAACACTCCAATTGATAAATACTGCATTTGCAATCTAAACCGAGCGGTTTTGATTTTTCAGAAATTCTCAGGGCCAAATAATGCCCAAAGTGGCTCTGGCTCTTTATGACTTTAAACTGCTGATATTCTAGTTTCATCAACTTGTTTGTCAATACCTTACCCTGTTTTAGAAATTGTTCAAATCTCAAGCATGCTCTTACATATTGAATCAACTGAGATATGTAAACCTCATATGCAGGTGATAAAGATATACTGCTGCATAAGTAAGGGAGGATGACGATTGAAAAGTCATCACGTTTATCAAATTGAATTGAAAAAGGTAAAGAATAGGTTCTGATCATCTCTTTTTTGAAGATTGTATTAAAATCCTTGGTCATCAGCAGTATTTTTATTTGCTGCTAATTATTACTAAATTTTTTTTATAGATCCTTAAATTTAAACGCATGAAATTTCACAGAAGTAAAAAAAGAGCTCGAGTAAATTTTCAACATTCAATATAGACAAACTTTGATCAGAAAATCTAATTTGAGCCTTTGGATTGTATACAAGTGAGAAAACCATCAATTAGTGATTATCTAGCAATAAAGGATTAGTCTCATAACTTTATAATACTTTGATCTCTACCTTCCTCTAAGTTCCATATTCTGCAGTTTTATGACAATCTGGATAGTTTACTGAATATAGATAAGAAAACTTTAGATCTCCCTTTTTATTTTACCTTTTCCTCCAGGTTCCATTTTTCCTGTTGTACGTCTGTAAGCCTGGCCAGCAGCTCACTGTGTTCCTGGTCAATCTCTGACGTATCAGCACCGAACGACTTGTCTGGACTCTGTCAAACAAAGACTTATTGAGATGAATCAATAAAAACTTAAATTGTTAATAACATATTCATGAAAGAACAAAAGTCAGAAAGTACAATATACGGCCTGTGAATTTCTTAAAAAATAAATCATCGTTTTCTTGAAAACTATTTGTGGTTTCCGTATCTACTCGACTTCGTCAATGCAGGGGTGGGTAGTTTTAGCCAAACCGGATGTTGGCTTTTTGATCGTAACGGCTAAAACCTATAATGGTTTTGACTTTTCCGGAATTTTTCACCGATTTTACAGATTCATTTTAAAATTTCAAGTGGGGCGCATTCCTCTCGGAAAAAAATTCAAGTATAAAATCAATCATTGGTATCTTACGCGTATTTTTGAACAAGTTTTTTTCTCCGAGAGGAATGCGCCCCATGTTTAAAATTAATATTTATGAATGTCGTTTGGTCAGCTGGCGCATGCAGAAGCAAATTTACATTATATAATTTCATGTTATTAAAACCTCACATTGCAAAAATTAAATCTCTCATAAGAAAAATTACTGTAAATTATATAAACACGACCATAAATCCATTTTAGCATTAAATACATTATTTATGCATGGTAAATAGCGTAGGCTAAACAGATTTTAATAACCCAGTTCTTAGTTCAATTAAAAACATTAAAAATAGAAATGTATTCGCGTTAGTCTATGCTTTCCACATCTGCGTGTCTGTTCTGGACCATTGTTTAACAGAAGCCCTCCAAAGTAGCCAGGTTATAACCAGAATAGGTCTATTTGTTTTGGTTTTTTGTTTCAATATTTGACAAGTCGTCAATTTTTTTTGCTCGTGACGTCACAATGTGCAGAAAATGACGTCAAACTTTTTAGGGAACTTCAATATTTTTCGTACTCATGATGATTGTTGATCAAATTTAAATAGATAACATTATTACTATTTAAAGTTAGTACATAGACTTACTGTTACATTATTTAATATATTCTGTGAGACTGTGTGTTACATAATCAGTATCACACATCGGGTAGATCGCAAGCGATTAACTTGTAAAAGTCTACAATAACATAGCTATACAAATTTTAAATCGACACATTACTTTTTTTTATAGTTTACTATAACATTTCTCATGTTTATTACAATATTTTTGTTTTAAACTATTTCCTTACTGTTAATATCTTCGTATCGTGCTGATATCGACATGGTACCATCCTTAATATGGTGTTTTTAACAACTATTATTAAAACTTTCTTTAATATATCGTCGATATCGACGATATCGATATCGAATCATGTTTGCTCAGCTCTTGGTAAATACCTTCCCTGTTTCTTTGAATGTGTTTATGTTTAAATACTTTACTTTTACGAAGATTTTACCTGTATCGTGTGTATTTACATAATACAAAAACTTTATTTTTACATCACTTCTGTATCACACATCGGGTATATCGATCACTTTCAAGAATTTTCACACTGCGATTAAATCTTCTTAAACAATAACAACCCTAAAATTTTCTTTATCTTACTAATTTATTTTTATATTCAATAAGTAATCAATTTGGACTTCACTTGTGACTTTCTAAAATTATGTTACCTCAATGTGAAAATAAATTGCTAATCGACACGATATCGTCATGGTCGATATCGACGACATCGACATAATATAGAGTCTTAAATACGGCACCAGGTATTTCCAATTCATAATGCTGATTGAGATCGATATCGATACGATATCGACATAATATTGTCGATATCGTCGATATCGACATCGGATTTGTTCTTGGACATGTATGCTAAATACAGGTCAGATGTATATCTTTACTGAATCTTTTTATGTATATATTTTGCTCGGACATTGATATGTTTCATTCAGTCTGAATATCAAAAGGTAGACAGAATGTTTCAGAGAGCGCGCGCGAGAGTGAAGGAGGGGGCACTAGCTAATATTTTAATATGTAGATTATGCTTTTTTAAAAAAAATATTCTTAGTAATTGGCACAATATATTCATCAAATCATGATTTTTAAATATGTCAGCCAAGTCTGTGGCCTCGTTTTCCATATGTATGCTTTAGGGTTGGGGTGTCTATTACTGAGAAACAAAATAAGCATCCTATTAAAAAAACAACATAAAATGTAATAGGAATACTGTAATATTTAGCCGGCCTTTGCATAAATAATGAATTTATCAATTTATTATCAGAATAATCTCAAAAAGGAGGAATTGTTTCTATTCTGTGTTTAATTATGAATAATTATGACATATGTTATAAAAGAGTGGTAAAAAACTAGTTTCCGGCATCGCTCATCATAGAATGTATTTACTTTTACCAAAAAAAATGACTTATAGGAGAGAACAATTTCCCGAAAAAAAAAAAGACATTTAGAAAATAATTTTGTCCTAGAAGTCTTTCAGGACAGGCCTGTCCCTAAATAAAATTGTGATATTTCGATAGATCGGGATTTAATGAATAATTCAAGATAAAAAAAATCAGGGCACCCTGCCCTCTATAGGGTTAAATTCACAAACACACACACCCACACACACAGAAAATAAGGTAACCTGATTTTAATAATGTGTTTTTATTATATTAAATCTTGTTTTAAACATTCGAAAGGGGGGAGGGGGTGTACACACCCGAGGCTTCGGCCCTGGATCTGCCTCTGATTACGCGGCGTTCTTGCATCAGAAGTTTGCTAATGCTGCTCTCGGAAGTATTCGTTCAACGAAGTAGAGATATTGCTCGAAAATGCACAAGTGTCGAAAATACCCGGTAGTTGAAAATGTTGAAAAGCAGAAAGATGACAGGGAAAAATGAAACTTCATAAACCTGTCTTGTGATTGTCAATAAACACACTGTATTGATTATTTAAAATCCATTTCATATTTTTTTCTAAAAACTTTGAATTGATGATTGTGATAACACTTTGCTAAAACACGAGGATGATTACTTTGAGAAAAAGAATATCTTCACAAGTCCATGCGTAAAATATCACGCGGTACCTCTTTCTTTGTTGGTGAATGTGTATGGAACACCGGGACTGTCTTACATATGAGGAATAAACATTAAACGCAGCACTTGTTCTCTACGTTATATGTGGTACCTATTTTTATTTTAACATTTACCCCCACCCCCCACCCCCGGCTCCTGGATTTTGCTATACATATGCAGGTTGATTAAAATATCAAATTCATAAAGTTTGTGTGAATTGTTAATTAATTTATTATTTTAAAACATTATCAATGTCCATAATGAAACATTACATTGTATCTAATTATTTAAGTGTATCACGATAAACACACAGGCGCTAAACGGACACGCTGTCATTTTCATTTGTTCATGTACCTAAGCTTGTTTATACCTGACGTTATAATTTCAAATTAAGTTATCTTTTATTAACAAAATATTAAGTTACTATCTGTAATATATTGTAAAACACGTTTTTGTCAAATTCTCATCAATTAATAAATATTTACCATTTTATTTATGAGAACTCAGAAGTGTTAAAATTCACAACGTCATCATGATGTTCCGTAAAATGTACGAAATTCGGCCATATACATATGCTATTTTGAAGATCTCTTACAGAAAATATGAAAGAGATATTGAAAAAAGAAAGTTGGTTTGAAAAAATATGTAGTCTGTAGATATATCCAGGGGCAAAATTATCCTATTTTGAAATCAGGCCAATTTGTGTACTTTTTGACTTTTCCTCTTTTATAATACCAAGGTAATATTGTTTTTGTATGTAAAAAGAAAAATTTTACAATTCAGTTTTAATAGTCAAATAATTTTTAATATGTCAATTCTATGCATGGGATTTACTCCTCTGGATTCTGGATTAGGAAATGTAATACTGTAGTAAAGAGTGAGCAAAGCAAAAGAATAATACACAGTCACAAATCAATCTAATTGTTTATGAAAGAAACTTTCCTATAGTGACTTTGTTATTCTTTTCTTGTAAAACAAGAGTCCTACTTGTGGAGAACTCAGGATACTGGAGTCCCTGACAAGACTGTTACCAGCACTCCAGGAGGACAGGGAACTGTGGGGGACATAAAGATTAAATTATAAATATAGCCAATCAAAATAAACTGTTGTGGTAATAATCAGCCAATCAAAATACATCCTGAAACTCCTTCCACTTTTAAGCCAACTATCTAGCTTTTTGAAAAATCTTATAAATCTGGTGTTTTACTATTCAACTTCATGTTTTTTTCTAAATGAAAGTCTGAATTATATATTATACATAGTTTTTAATACAAGATTTTTTTAAAGTTCAGGATAAAAATTAACAGGGGAAAAAAATCAGTATTCACCTTCTGTCTAGTGACTCATTGCCATCATTAGAGGCTAATAATTCTTCTACACCTATGATACAAACAAATAATTTAGTAAAATTTACATGTTCATTCTCTAAAGAATTTTTTAAAGCAATTTTATATCATACATAATTCTTTAATATACGTACTAGTATCATCTATTTAGCATTGTATGTCTTTCTATGAATTCTAGAGATTTATTTTCATAAAATTAATTCAAGATTTAGTCTTAAGATTCCTTTACTATTGAAACATTTTCTTTAAAGAAAGAAGTTCTCTATAAACTTGATTATATGCCATAGAATGACTGACAGAATTCATTCTACATACTTTTGTTCATTTTGTTTTCTGACAACACTTCCTGTAGTCGGTCCTGTAATTTCTCCGCTCTTTTTCTCTCAGAAACCAACTGGCGCTTCAGATCTTTCAACTAATTCAAATTGAATATCAACTACATTAAAACATACTGACAATCTCAGAGCATCTATGAGTTTGGCCTGTTTTTTTTTAGTTTTTTTAGTTTTTTTTTCAATCAAAATGAAAATAAACATAACTACATGTAATGACAAACCATTGTCTGTCCTTTCTTTTCATGTAATCTCTTATCTTCAGTACCATCTTTAATCTCCTGCAAAATATAATGTTCATGCTATATTTTTAATTAAACAAAAGAAATTTTAATTTGGGCTGCTTTGATTGTCCATCCATCTGTTCTGGATTCATTTAACATTACCTACATTAATTATAAAGATATTTGCAATACAATTCGATATCATTACTTCCTTTAATAAAAAAAAGACTGACTCTTAATAATTTTGAGGTTTAAAGGTCAAGGTCTCATATTTTTTATTGCATTAAATAGTTTACAGAGGATAATAATTTAGTTCTTTTTAAGAACAAAACTAAGAATAAAATAAGATGATGATACTAGGAAAGATTAATAATAATGACAACAACAGATCGACACTCAATTTTCATCAGAAAACTCACTTGAAAAATTTGTTCAAGTGAGCTAAAAAGTCAAAGATTAATGTCAGAATTTAAATGTGGAATAAACAGATTTTCAGATTCACTTCAATAATGTCTAACAAATTTGTAGCTCTCTACCGGCAAGTGCGGCGTCTCCATGTGTGTGAAAAATTCTCAAGCGTGACATTAAAAAACATAAAATCAATCAATCAATAATATCTTAAGTGAAGATCCCAAAGGATTCTGAAGTTAAAAATGGTCAGAGGGTCTGCCACAAATTTACATATTGCTACAAATTATTTCTAGCTAACATCTCAGATAAATCTAAATTATACATTTTTCCTTCATAAAAGAATAATACACAATATAATGTTCAGATCTAACTACATGTATAACAGGTAACAATTATTTTAGTTTTGAGTTTTTTCCAAATGAAACTGGTCTGATAATTGTAATAAGATATTTTGAGATTTTCCTTTATTTTCTTTTATCTGCCAGACAGTGGAATCAATAACCTGTTTTAACTTTGAGATTTCCCCTTGACTGGCTGACAGTTCCTGTCTCAGAGATTCTTCTTTATCACAGCATTCCTGTCAATAAATCAATGGACATAATACTACAGAGCAATTAAGATCAACTGCTGCTAACAAACTTTTTTCAGAAATCACAAAATTAGACACCGAAACTACAGGTGTAATTCTATATATTGAGTAAAATTAATTAGTTTAGCTGTCCATTTTTTTTTCAAAAATTTCTCAGAAAAGTTTAATGCATTGAAGAAAAACTTGTACAAATATACAAAGGGAGCAGCAAAATGTTAAATTTTTAAACATATCATAGAAAATTTAAAAAATTTCAAATACATTTTGAAATTGATATTTGAAGCATTACATTTTAAATGTCCAAAAAATATCCAGTGCCTTATTTGTAGCAAGTATACAAACATGTATAAGTTTTCAAAAGAAATTTCAAAATAATAGGAGTATTACAGTCATGTACTTCATTGTCGTTTATGCTACCATAGACTTGTGCACCTGAACTGCATGGTGACAAAAATGTATTTTAGGATGATATTACTTATTATACATTAAATTTACACCAAAGACTGGGTGGTCAATGAACAATAAACACTATGCTAAAATATAAGCCATCCTAATGAGAACATTCATGCAAAGTTTCACTTAAACTGAACCCACTGATTTCAGAGAGATCTCATTTAATAGATGGCAATAGGGCTAGCTTACAAAGATCTCTTGTCCAGTTGAACAAAACATATAGTGTTTATATATATAGCGTAAAAAAAAATTACTTAGCTATTTTTTGTTTGTTTACAATGTAACATATTGGGAAATCAAAAATTTTTGTGGAGGTTTAATTTTGTTGTTTTCAAGGTATGAAGAGACCCACAAATTCATATATTCCACAAAAAGTAAAATGTAACATTAAATAACTTCTTCACAATTCCTCATCCACAAAATCAAATCCCCAAGAACCAAGAGTTTTTCCTAAAACCATGAAAATTTGACCCCAGGAAGATATGTGATTTTACAGTACAAGTTGCATACTGTCAGAGCAAATATATACTTTCTAAAGAATCACCAGTAAGGAAAATAAAATATAATAAATTAAAGCTAATATAGAACAGATAATTCCTTTGTTATAAAATGTTGACCTACTTGTATTTTGGCTTTATGTTCAGTAGTCATTTCCTGGACTTTCTGAGCATGCTCAGAGTTGAGTGATTCCAGCACTTCCTCTTGGTCATGCTTCAGTTGTTCCACTTGTTTCTCATTTTCTGAGATATGGTTTTGTAACGTCTCCTGTATAAGGTATACAAACATTTAATTAATTTTCTAATGATGGAAAACAAATTCTGTTCCTTTAAAAAAAGTCTGCTGATAAACAATATTATTTGACGTTGCAGCAAAATATGTTCCATGATTCTTGGTTAAGCATACAGTAAAATGCGATTATAGTGAACACTTATAATGAATTGATGCTTATCCATCCCAGGGACTTTGTTATAAGAGTGTTTTCGTGTATCAACACTTTTCTTTTAAACATACATACCTCTGTCTCCTTAAGGCGTCTTTCTAACCATGACTTGGCCTCCTCCAAGGATTGCTTCTCTTTCTTCACCTCTTCTAGTTCCCTCTTAATTTTCTCTAACTCTGACCCTCGGCTCTACCAACAAATCAAGCTGATCAAATTCACAATTTCATATCTAAAACTCTTCCTTGAAACTCTTTAAAAGTCTCCAGATTTCCAATAAATACAAACACTTGATGAAAAAAACAAGCTTGATGAGTTAAAACTCCCCATCTAAAAAATCAAGAGCCTGCAGTTCAGGTGAGCTAAAAGTGGTGGGTTAGTACAATTTGGCTGAGGCCACCTTATAATAATGTTTGGTTGCCCTCTGCCAACTCAGGATAAAAATTATTGAATTAAAGTTATTGGGTCTGTTGGTACGTAAAAAAATCTTTTTTTCAGAAACTGCAACATATTGTGTTTTGGAAAGTAAAAAACTTTTGAGTTGGGCCATTTTTAGTCAGTCAGTCGGGAGAGGGCAAGCAAACAATTTTTTAAAGATGGTCTGACCTGTAATATTTTATCACTTATACTGACCTTTTCGCCTTCTGCTGCCTCTCTGAGTGCCTGTATATGAGCTTCATTCTCCTCCTGTAAGACCCGTAACTTCTCCTGGTAACCCGCGTTATCTCTCTGATACGTGTTGGCCAGCTCATCCAACATTGTCTTACGCTTCTCTGCCACCTAAACAGTTAATATAACAGAGATTGTGTTGGAACAGAGGAACTGATTTTAATGTCTGGGCCATATATTGTAACATAATTCATATAAAAGGTCTATATATTATTCATATTTTCTGAATACTGTATACAGGGTTATTTTCGCCCCGCTTTATTTTCACCCTTTCAAACTTGCAAACAATTATGCCCTGTTTTAAATTCGCCCTGTCACAGCTTTGTTTAAGAAATTATACTGTATACTTTAAATTCGCCCCTTTTTAATTTCACCCAATGGAGGTCAGGGCGAAAGGGGCGAAAATAAAACGGGGGCAAATATTTCCCTGTTTACAGTACTGAGATTTACACATATCAAGATATCAACAACAG